CGTCGTTATAGTTGTTATACTTATATCTTTTAAAAACGAAGTGGCGCGTCTATATCTATATATTTCTATTATTATTTAGGTATTTAAACAAATATTTTCAGTACCATTATTATGTAGGTTTTTCGGCGATCCGGATCACATTATTCTCTTCGCGCATGCGCAGGATGGATCGTGTTTCCGGGACGGATCGGGCAGTGACATGTTTCAGTGAATTTCCTGCAGGTATATGTTTTCTATGATTACCTTTGATTTCTGTGGTTCAGCGCGGGAAAAAATGCGCCCTCTGCTGGAGCAAATGGCCACCCATGTCTTAAAACTGGGCTTTTAGACAACTCCTGCACACTCAGGGCAACAAGTCAGTTTAGGAAATGGAGCTGCAGCAAAGAAGTAGAGGTAAGCACTTTCAATCAGATACTGATATGCATGGTCTAATTGGACTTTTTAAATCAATTATGTCCCCGATTAGTTTCTCATAATATGATAAGCTGCTTGCAGAATAACAAAAACAACTCAGCACAGAGTCTGCAGAGATGAGATCCGATCAGATAAACTTTGCTGTTTCAGTCCGAGTTCAGATGTTCATGCAAATACAAAACATTTTTAATCAAAAACCTGGAATAAAAATACAATTAAAATAGGAAAAAGAGATGCAAGACTGGCTATAAACAGAAAAGAGTCACAATCATCTACTGATAACTGGATCTAATTAAAGAAAGGCTGGATGAGGTCGAGGGATGACATGTTAATGTGGGATGGCAACATGCCACGCGGGGCCGTGTATGTGTGTGGGTGTTGGTGTACTCACCCAGAACAAACACAACAGAGATGATGTTGATCAGAAACATATCGCGTTGGGCGGTAATTCCTCCGTTCAGTCTGGATTCCTCTCACTCAGGCTCCGCTGTCATGGTTAAACCCCTCCGGCTCAGCGCAGCGCAGCGCAGCAGAGATGGGATGAAGGTCCGTCACATTCCGCAGGTTCAGAAACATCCAGAAAAGCGCTTCTCTCAGTGATGCGTTCGCGTGTTTCTGAGAGAAGATGCTCTGTCCGTCTGTTGGCGTGGACCGGTCCGGACTCCTGACTTTGTGCTGCCTGCCTTTCCTTTCGCACGCGCTCTGCTTCAATGGGTCTCCGTTAAACTCCGCGCGCAACTCCGGAGCAGCAGGATGCTTAACCCCCCAAACTAAAGGGGTCCTACTGGGTCCGACAGCTACAGCAAAACTGAGTTTTACCTCCAAACAGCCTCGATCCTTCTTGCCTGACACGTGCAGGCAAAAACTATTGGAAAGGCGCGTGCCTCTCTCTGCCCAGTCTATCTGTCTCTCTCCAGGTAACCAACGAGCTCCTCGTGCGCACGCACAGGGGCGGATGTAGGAAATTTAGGGCCATACGCAAAGACAGATAGGGGGCCCTCTGGATTGAGAAGACAACACATAGAACAGACCCTTTATACAGATAGAGAAATGTTAATAGAATAGACATCCATTATTTGTTCTAGGTTTTGTCTCTCTCTGCAATTCAATTCAGTCAGATTGATTCAAAGGTTTCTATCTAAGGAAAACCAGTTGATTACATCGACTCATTGACTCTTCAGCAATCCCTCACACTAAGCATGCTTGTAGCGACAGTGGAGAGAAAAAAACTCCCTCTGGTGCGTAGTGGTCACTGTAGCGGACAGCTACTAAAAAGTAAATATCTCTTCATCAGAATGAGAATCAGACATACTTTAATAATCCCAGAGGGAAATTACTTTTGTTACATGCTCCAGATATACAAACATTTTTAT